CCTCTTGCTCCTGGCTCAGCTGCAGCTGATTGTCTACTCTTGGCTCGGCATCCTCCTCCCATCCCATATATTGCTCTGCAAAAGAGACTTCATCCAAGAAGAAACCCCCAAACACCTATGGGTGGGAGACAGAGCTACAGAGCAATATCCTCTTTACAAAGCTTTGGCAGGGAAATATCAGTCATTTGCCCTGTACAAATAGAAATAAGAGTCAGTGTTGACACTGCCCCAAAAATCCTGGGGTCTGACACATTAGATGATACTGTAGACAACTTCCACCCAGCAGTTACAGAGAGTCTGAATGTTGCCAAATGGCACTGCAAAGATGAGGCTGAGGAAGGAAAAATCTGCTCCAGTCTCCGTAAGCAACTGGGAAAGTGTCATTTTTCTTCCTGCTAATAGTAAATTGGCCTGTCCGTTGCTTTCAGACACCCTCCTCTCACATTTAAATACTATTAATTTTCAATTATCTTTCATCCTTCTTCACCTTAGAACACAAGTGTAAAGTCTCCAGCCGACTATTTCTGGCACATCAAGCTCTAGGAAAATAATGATTTTGGCTCTTCATATTCAGACTATTAAAAAAAAGAAAAGTTTACACCCATTCATTTAAGGCATTTTTGAGATTAAAGAAACCATAAAGACATGTTTAACCACAGAAGACCATGTTTTCTAATAATATGGAGGAGCTTTTCACATCCTCTTAAAGCAGGGGCGGGGGGGGGAGTCAGTCAGAACAATCCTGTGGCACGATTCCAGGCTGGGAAGCCCAGCGCGTCCCTCCTCCCTCCAACGCACACTGTCCTGGTTGGAAATACAAACTAATAAAATCCCGTTCAACAGAGAATCCACAGCGAGCAGGGCGCTTTTAATGAGACAATACGGAGGGAAAAACAACACACTTCGGTCCCAATCTTCCCCCGTGGAGAAGGCAACCGGGCTGTCAGACAACCAGGAGCAACAGAAATGCATACACTCCCCCACCCACCTACACCCTCTATTTGCTGTTTTCTTGTTTTGTGCACCAAAACGGAGACAAGCCTCGGTGGCAGGTCACCGCCTAGCGCCGCCCCGTGCTGCGCTGCCGCGGCACGTCTTTCCCCAAAAGGAAGGCCGCGGATGGGGACAGAGGGACGTGCTGTTTCGCAGCCACTTACTCTTCTCCCGGCCTCGTTGTTGTGCAGGTTCATCATGATGCGGGCGCTTTCGTAGGAGCCTCTCTGGTAAACTCTCTCCCGCTCCCGGGCATCAACGAACTCCTTGGCAAAGCGGTATCCGTATTCGATGTTATCCCCGCAGCCACCCCAGAGCCAGTCCCGGGGCAAGTCCTTGGGGCGCGCTGCTCGGCTGCAGCCCGCGCGCCCCGCTCCCTGCCCACCGATGAGCCGGGAGGGCAAAAGCCACCAAAATTCATTCGCCTACTGAAAGGTAGAGTAACCCTGAATCGTGCTCCTCAGTATCTTTTCACTCTGGAAAAAACAAGTGAAACCAACCCATTAAAGCACCCAGGGTGTTTGTGAAGAGCAGGAGACGCTTCTCATCCATGCTGGTGAAAGCCTGGATGGGGGCGTGGGGAGGAGGGGGACCGGGGCCGGAGCACGATGCCAGCGGGGCCGAAGCATCCGTGCCTGCGTGTGAGGGGCGGAAAGGGAAACAGACTCACTGTCTTCCAGAAAAAAGAGATGTTAAATACAACTTTTAAAAGTCTGGTTCTTAAATTACTACTTCTCAAACATGATTTATGCACTTCACCCACTTTTTCCAATTTATTTAAAGTCACAGTGTTTTACAAAGCCTCCTGGTATCAAAAGAAATGCGCGGCAAGTAACACACAACTTTTCACCCTACACCTAAGGCAGGCACTTCTGCAGGAGGCTATTTAAAACTAACGACAACCTGTGCTGTTTAGTATCCACCACTCCAGCTCATGTGAATATGGCAAGTGAGTCCAAGGACAATCATCTTTACAAATTACAGGAAGAATAAACCCTTGGCACAAGGCAGCCTTGAAGGTTTTCTCCCGCATCTGGTGACCTCAAATGGAAATTGAAAACCTCGAGTTTCAAACTTTTGGAAGAAAAAGTTACAATACCCATAATGAAAGATATGGCCACCTACCATCCTCTTGACAGTATCTAATCCCACCTTTATTAGAGCCTGACTTCCCCTATCGCTTTTCCAAGGGTGCCACAAGTTCTGACTACACCTAGGAAAGCTTTCAAACAAACAAACTAACAAAAAAACCCAACCACAAAACTTGCACCAGAGAGCCCACTTGAAGTTTGGTTTTCATCTTAAGAAACAGCATCCCACTGGGTCTTTTCCAAGAAAGATTCCCAAATGACTGAGAATAGACTAAATATTTATTTTTCTATTTATGTGAGTCAAGTTTTATTCCTAATCTTCAGTCCAATCAATAGATCAAGTTAGGTTTTCATCTTGATTTCACAAGATTTTTCTTAGGGAACAGCATGAACAGCATGGACCTTTGTAAAACCAGGGCTTTAAGAGGTTGCGTTTTGGACATGCCATATGTATTTAGGCAGCAACATTTTTGAGGCAGAAACTCTTTGTACAAGACCTACCATAACAGGTCAAATCTAATAGGAGCTTTCGAGCACTTCTGGAACATAAATAATTTGCGGTCTTGTCCATGTTTAACACCAAGATGACACCATGCTCAGAGCAGCGTTGTTAATACAACAGCTGTCATCCACTGGATTAATTTTAGTAATAGATGCTGGTTTTAAACGGGAAAAATCAGAAGTCTTATGTTGAGAAAGACGAGATTTAAAGAAGATGAGAAGCACTTTGCTCCCTTACTTACAACGGTCTGCTCTCGCAGACACCTGCTCCTGGAAGTACGTACATGACTTATGGGTATAAAGGGTTACAGGAGTAGCCTTCTCAGTTAAAAGAGATTTGGCTTTATGCGGCGACTTAAGCCTTGCATTTACTGCAAACTATAGCAGGGGGAACCTCATACAGATTTTAATGTTCCCGTTTGTTCTGTAACACACATTTTTGGATTAATTCCTTAAGCAAAATTTCCACTAGATTGAGAGGAAAGAAACGTGGTCTGCTTCGGACCACAGGACTCGCCTCTTCCGTTCCCTTTTATTCTTTTTCATGTTTAGTTAGCTCATGCTTTCACATGGTTAACTATGTCGTTTATGGCAGGATTTAAACTCATAAAGCTGACTTTTTTTTCACTAGTTTTCATTATTATCCTGGAGCATATTTTAAAGAACTTACTCTTAGTGGGAAGAAGAAGGAAAGGCTGGGGTACGGAAAGAGGAGTTGCCTCCCAAGTTCCTTTCTTAAGCAGTTAGGCAAATTATAAAATAGCATCAGCTGCTGAAGTGGATTTCAAGCCCCCGCAGGTTGCAAGCCAACACTGCCTCAAGTCATCGACCCCAGGAACACATTAAGAGTGATGGTTCCACATGGATGAGTTACTCTGAATTTTTCTTTTCTTTTTTTTTTTTCTTCTCTAAGTCTTTAGGCACAACTGTGCTTTCCTTCCCTGTCAAACATATCTGTCTTTTCCCACAGTCCAGCATTTCTCTCTATTGTAGCCATGGCAAGGAAACACACATTCCAAACACGTTGAGTCCCCTCTCTCCCATATATATAAAACATAGACATGGAACTGTTCAACATACGTACACTGTAGGAAGCCACCCACAGAGCAAGGAGCTGTGCTTTACACTTGATATGAATAAGTCTGCAAGAACAGAACAATTTTTTTTTTATTATTTTTTTTTATACCTGAATATAGGATACAAAATGTTCTTTGTCTTGTATTTTAAAAGCATTCAGCATCGGGCAGCAGGCATGAATAAACTGGAGCCCAGCTACACCGAGCTGTTGGGGGAGGATCCGGTTATTCTATTTTATGTTAGTGCTTCTTTGCTCTTTGCGAAGCCCAAGCGCAGCCATGCCAGGGCCGGCCACCGAGCCAGGAGATGGCGCACGCCGGCGAAGGCAGCCCGCACCACGGCCCGACCTGGGGACCAGCAGCAAAGGAGAGCAGCAGAGAACAAAAGCCCTAAAATTTTGCAGTTCAATAAGCCACAGAACAAGTTTCCAAACCCAATGCTAGGTTTATTTGTACAGCTTTAGCTAACTTTGCAGGATAAATCCTGGGAGAAAGACTGTCCATTTATCCACCGGGGTAATTGCTGTGCTGTCCGTCAGCGCTCTGCCCGGGCGCTCTCCCGGGCGCAGCCAGCAACAGCGCGGCCTTAGCTCAGACGACAAAACCCTCCTAAATGATGTGAGTTCAGATCCTGACTACAATCTTCTCCCATCGGTGAGAGTAAGGAGTATCCCACAGTCCCCAACACGCCAGGGTATGGTGGGCTGAAGGAAAATTGAATGAGGCTCTAAAATACCCATTTTCCCTTCCGCTCAGAGAAACAGAAACTGGTCATTACTGAAGATCAGCATGGAATAATACAACTGTTACCCACAACACCTTTCTTGTTCTCAGTGAACACACTCTTTAGGCTCTTTAACTTGAATACGGCTATTAACCTCGCTTCCATCTGCAATTAGAATAAGTGGCTTAATTACATGATGAATTGCTGTGCAGACATCAGCTAATACAGTCATATTCAGCAGAAGGGTGAGGCAAAGTTATTTAACTTGAAAGAAACCACCTTTAAATAGATCTGTCATACTCAGGGAGGGCAGAAACGTCTGTTATGGAGACAGACACCACAAATCACGGGCCAAATCCTGTGCATTTCTTCACACCAATAGTCCCCTTGAGCTAATTTTTACTTGCTTGGATAATAAATAAGGGCTGAAGGATGAAGGCCTAAACTTTAAACAGATTATTTTTTTGACATTTGTTAGATTATTAGAAGAGAAATGTATACAGAAAAAGTTTTCTTTCGTGTCTCACGTGCTTTTAGACTTTTGCTTGGGTAGGGTAAAAAAAACCCAAACTCTGTGGGGGTGTTAATACTGTTCTTGCAAAAAGCCCAGGGAAGGTTGTTTATCTAAAATCAGCTGTTCCAGTTAGGTCCTTTCATGCAATAGATATTTTTCTGTTTGTCTGACAATCTCCAAATAAAAACTTCTTTTAACAAAAATTGAGACCAAATGTGAATAGATGTATTCCTTCAACCTGAACTGGAGTTCACCCATTTACAGATAAACCTAGCTCAAGTCTGATTTTAAAACTTTATTTTTTTAAAAGCAGGACAGGAAAGTGCTGACATAAAAGCTTTACTTTACATGTCCAACTAAAAATGACTGCTGAATTTGTCGGTGTACTGATCACTACATAAAACAAGCGTCACCCAGAAAAAATGGAGGCTTTGAGTTGCTTACACAGAATCAGCAATCTGACTCGGGAAAGTCAAAGGAAGGCTTCACCATGGAGCCAGTTCAACAGCACTGGTTAAAATTTTGCCAATGACTTTAAAATACGATGAGGTCCTTAAACGACAGTAAAGGCAGGCAGCACGTGAGCAGTGGAGAAGCACATTTCAAAGAGGATCTGATAGGGAAAGGGTGGGGTGGCCACCAAATTGTGATGAGAAGTTAAACAAGAATCCATCTCTCTTACCAGTGATGTGATTACATTAAATCCGAGTTACAAGGACAATCACACATTTTGTCCTGACAGAACTGATTTCATAAAAATTACCCTGCTACATTATTTTTAACATAAATCTACCTTTCTCAGGAAGAGGAAAAAAGTTACTGTATCTGGAAATAAGCAAGAATGAATTGCCCATAAACACTAATATACAGAGCAGAGATTTTCAGTTAACCTCCAGAGCAAGAGCAATTTATTATGCAGCCGTTAACTTTGGATCTAGACATGGACATCTTTAATTTTACAAGACGCTGCTGTTTTTAATTCTCTTAGGTTGTCTTCCTTTAGTCTCAGGTTTTCTGAAAGGAGATTTCAAGGCTGCATTTTCCTTTCTCCTCTATTCCCATATGCAAATATATATTCCTTCTTTGTTTTCCAAGACACATGGCTGGACAGTGGTGGGAAATCACCTCCAGCTAAAAATAATTCAAGTCCTTTGCCAACTTTTAAAAACACTTGATTGTATACAGTACTCAGTAAGAACCTGGCAAGAGTTTCAAGTGCAGAACAGTACGTGCCATACAAATCCTTAGACAAGAGTTTAATCATAAAGATGTTGCTTCCTACCTATCTGCATGACTCTGCCAAAAACAGAGTTGTTGTCCACAGTGCTGCAATTCCATCTTCTATGTCTGAACTGATACTGGCACTCCTTAATGCCCGTCTTTGCACCCTCTCCAATGAACTGCATATGGTCCTGATACAATTGGCAGAGTTTCTTCTGTCCTTGGGAAAGCCCTGCTAGCTGGCTACATAGTGGCTGGGCTCCTATTATATACACCTCTGACATCTGAACAGGGTTCATGGGGTTCATAGGGTTCATCCCTAAAGACCTGCATAAAGAAAGATTTGGATTAATAAAGAGAAGACTCAAAAAAAAAAAAAGCCTATAAATCCCAAACAAAACTGTATCTTATACATGAGTATACAACTCTCTGTTTTGCTATCAGGTGAGAAAAAAGAAACACTTAAATACGAAACTTTTGTTTTAAAGACATATGACACTTTTGTTTGAAAGACAGCACACAACAGAAGTTATTAGTTCCCGTCCATGTGGTTATCACCATCCATTAGGGACTGAAGTAAGAGGCAGACCTGGAAGACTTGCATCTAGGCAGTCCTTTACCAACTTAAATGGACATCGTAAAAGTAACAGAAGCTCCAAACAACTGCGAGGCCAGAAAAATAAATAAAGCAAAACCAAAAAAAGCCCCCCAAACCCCAATTTATTTCAACACACGTTTTAGGTTTAAGTCTGGATTTTTCAATCTATTCTACCATAAACAAAGAGAGAAGCCTTTAACAAGCCAGAAGTTAGAAACTTGCTACAAACTACTTCTAGCTTCTTCAGAACGACACAAAAAACACAGAGGCAAGTATATTCACTGTAAACAAAATCAACTTTGTTTTCTTAATTCTTAAAGTGCTCTTCACATGATACATTTCAATTAAAAAGTGGCCATTAATCTGAAAAGGATCACTTGAAACAGCAGAGAAACACCTATTTCAAGAACTCCCAACATCATATACTATACAGAAACAGATAATCTGCCCCAAAGCTGAAATTTAAATGTACTTCTTTGTAACAAAACATATTTATAAATGTTTATAAAGTTACAGAAAAGTTCAAACTGAAATGTAATAACAGTTTTTACTTGTAAATCAGCATTATCTCTTATATACGCAAAACTTCTAATCTTAGGGAGTTAAAATTACTCTTTTAAAAGAGAAGCAATTCTAGTAATTTCAGGATGACGAAATCCATAGAGAATCTACTGTACGGCATTCAAAAAACTGAATTTTACAACACGAGATGTTGCACATTTACACTTCTTCGGGAGACCCGTTCATTTTACTACCCAACGTATTACAACTCAAACATTACTCCCCTGCCTTCTCGCTCATGCAGTACTCCCTCAGAAACAAAGTACGTAAGAAGTAAATAGACATTTAATCAAGCAAACCTTGACACCCCCTTTTAAAACGAAGTCGATACAAGATGCTTACCACCAAGAGCTGGCTTCTATTACAACCTGGGTAAAAGAGGAGAAAACGGCCAGAGCCACTATGAGGTACTGAGAAGCCATTGTACTGCCAACTGTCCCCAAAGCACCTCCTTGGATTAATACTGCAGTGGATTTCTGGAGGGGGGAGAAAAAGGATCAGATTGTTTATTGCTCCTCAGACCATTTTCGAGCATTCAAGTTTAAACAACGGAAGTATCCGGGCCCCTTTTAACTTGACTCTGACTCGCCTGCCCTTCTCCCCGCCGCGGCTTTGGTGCCAGACGCAGGCACGTCGCGGCTCCCGCTCCACCGGGCAAAACCCACCCCCGCACC